CAACAAAATAGAATTTAAGAGATCAATTTAATTGTTTCCTCAATGCACTTGGCAGGAGACATGCTGTCCCCATACTGCATTTGCATTTTGAAGCCCAAATGATTGGATTTTCTCATGACACAGACCACAGGAGAAGACCAGTACATGGTAAGTAAAAAATACTATGGACTGGCTCAAGGCCAGGTGGGATGGGGCACTGAGCAACTCGGTCTAGCAGGAGGTGTCCCTGCCAGTGGGGTTGGTACTAGATTAAGGTATCCTCCAACCCAAATCATTCTATCAATCTATGACCAGTTTTCATCATCTCCTTCCAACAAAAAAAAACATTACTCAACATGTCAGCACAAAAAAGTAAACAAAAAAAAAATCAGAGAGCAAATCAAAGCACCTTTGCCCTCTGTGGCACAACGTTAGATGACTAAGGTAAGAGGAAACCCTTCCATATACCACTAAAGACACATTTCAATTAGTGTTTGCCACTGGTGTTTACCCCAGCTGAATTTCTATTTAAAACACCCAAAGCATTACCAATACAATTTCAGGTTATGTGAAGTATTTTAAGTAGTAACTTCACCAAAACAAACAAGATATCATCATAAGGCAGCACTCATGGGGAGCTTGCAGTCAAATAGACGGTGCTGTACTTGTTTTAATCAGGGTTAGTAAGAGTAAGAGGCTCTAAACCTCTAAGTTAACAAATCAAGTTTAACTAGGTCAAATTCAGATTGTTGGAAAGATCGTATGCATGCATGAAGAAGATCTTCCAAAACATGCCATCTCACAAAATGGAAGTTTTCACTTCTTTTCAGTTATCTCTCTTCCCTGCAAAGATACTTCATTAAAAGCTGGAAGACATACCAAATACTCACACTTCATATCAAGCAATATATTCTATTATTCTGCAAGAAAAAGAAAGAAAAAAGTGCAATGAAGTCAGAGGAGAGAGAAAATTATATTGGTTTGGGCAGTTTATTGGTTAACATTAAATTATTAAAAGAAGAAATAACTTCAAGCTTATTTTCCACAATTTCTAAGCAATTAACATTGTCTAGGGAATTTTCATTTTACTTCTGCATTACAATAAGCTGACACTTGCAATGTGCATTTTTTCTTGAAATATCTTAACAAATCTTAATGTTGTGCCTTAGGCTTAAGCTTATACCCACCACCAGCAGCAGAATCATGATCCCTAGGTATCCTGAGCGTATCTCCTAAAAACCTAAACAACCCCCTCCCATAAACAGCTTGCTATTTTGAGGGTGGCTAATACTGGATGTAATTAATGGTATGGAGGTGGAGGGGAGCGGGGAAGAGGAAAACAAAAACCCACCCACACAGAAGACAAATTTTTAATTACATTTCACTATTATATACTTGCTCATGGTGTATAAGCTTCTCAGGGCAAAAGCAAGGTGCACTGAAAAGTTTCCATAGACAAGCTGTTACACAAATAGCAGTAGAAAATAATCATACTGACATATTATTTAATCATGTAAGAAATTATCACAAAATCAATTTATCCTAGGTTGAAAATGAGCACGGTTGGTTTGCTTTGGCATTTATTGAACTGCAGGATATCATTAAGCTCTAACAACTTTCCAGTACACTGGCATTCTTCCTTCAATGTCTGCACATCATAAAGCAGTAACTCCCACAGAACATGCATACTGTTAGGGACTGCTCTTTTCACCAGCCTGCTAAGCACTATTAAAATTGCATGGGCTCCTTCAGCCAACATATTGTGCTTTACAGTGACCTTTAAATTCCAAAGTCATTAGCAAAGTACAAATGGAGAAAAAATGTATATATATTTTGAGGGGTTCTATCATAAAAAGTTAGATTAAAATTTATCACACATCACGTGATGCAGTTAATGCAGTTTCTGATGACAGGGGATATCAGAAAAAAAAGAGAAAGTGATGAGAAAGGCTATCATATCAAAATGTTAAGTAATTTTTAAACAACTTTGCTGTAAGCAGTACTTGAGAACATGTGTCTTCTGCCATAAAAGGTATGATTATAGTTTCAATGACATTATGAAATATTTTCTATACTAATGTTATAATTAAATCAATCCCAGACGTTTTGAAATGGTAAAACAATTCAAGAGTAATGATGACCTAGTGAAACAGAAGCTAATACACAGTAGTTTAAAATTATGCTTAAAAGAAGTGAAACTCCTCAGGTTTGTTTGTATGAATGACTACTATTTCAAAATCTATTTCCAGAAGCACGTGCTTGAAAGGTAATACAACCACATTCTACAGAATGAAGATGTTGATGAATTAAGCTCTGTCTAGGCTGGTAAGGGTTGTGAGTTTCAATTTAAAATTCATGTATGCAATCACAAGTGGAGTCCTGAACTCTTGATAAAAACTAGTCACTTTCTTGTATTCACAAATGCCAAGATCCCTGGGCAGGTACTTCCCTTCTGCTTAGTGGCAGTCAAAAAGAACCATTCAGTACAAGRTATTTTAAAATTCATACTTTCTCCTGAGTGAGATAACAGAATATATGAAGAAATGTATTATATGAGAAAATGTCTTTTAATGATGGATCCAGAAGCTGTGTTTTCTGATCAGCAGAATCCTCTAGCCTTGCTTATAGAAGATTGGATCCTTAAAGAATTACACACAAACACACAAACACACACACACACACACACAAACTCTCACTTTAAAAGACCTGTGGCCTCCTCTTTCTATTAGACTAATGTACAAACTACCATAAATTGTAGGGCAATTCTGTTCCATCTGAGAGAATTCAAGCATACATAAAGGTAATACCCAAACCTGCTATTCTTAGATGGGAGAGCTTCATCACCAGTTCTGCTGGCATGTTTCAGTGGATAAAATATCCCAGTGTACTAGATCAGTCATAGAACAACTGCAACCCAGTAGACAAGCCAGCCTGCTGGAGAAATAAGAGACAGTCCCAGCCCTGCCTTTGCATCCTCTCCAACAGAGGAGGGCAATTTCAGCTGTGAAAACTGCAGCAACTGTTGAACAGAGGTGCATCCAAAGATCAGAATAGGAAATTTTTATTTTTGGATTTAGGTAACCAAAATAAAGCATGAACAGAATAGATGCATTTTTGGATCTAGTTCTTGCACTCTATCTTTCACTGGGAAAAATAAATGGTTCTTTTTACCATGGGGGCAGAAGAGAGAAGCTACTGATGAAAGCTGCTACTCAGCCATCAGGTATCATCAGGTGAAACCACATTTTATTTCAACACTTTTTTGGATACACCTACATCACAGGAAGTGCTACCCCAGTTGTGGTTCCTTTAATAAAGTTCAGATATAATCAGGTTAGTATAGAAAGACAATTTACCCATTTTCTCAGCAGATATTTCTCCTGAGCGTCACAATGAGGCACAAAGATTAATGCACATACAGCGTGAGGAAGGTTATACACACCAATCTATGCCTGCTCTGTATATGTGTGCCATTAACTGCTGTGGAAAATTAGGCCTACTTGGCATCCAATTGGCAATTATTTTTAACMAAAAATTTTGGACTTGTTCCTTTAGAAAGATCCCCAAACAAAAAACCTCTAATTGATAGTGTAATTAGTTTGCTGTCCTCAACAACTTGAAAAAAAAATCAATTTTGCATCTTTTAGTAACTCTTAGTAAGCAGTCCTGTCGAAGAACCTACACATGGGCTAAAAATTAACCCATTCTGCTAGTAGAAAAAAAACCAATATTTTCTCAAGGGCTTGAGTTAAAATGTTTATATATAAAAAGCTACAGAAGAAACTTTAAATGCTAAGCAATTTTCTGCCTATAAAAATAGTCTTAGCAAAACTTCTTCTATCTTAAYAATTTTTCTCTTCAGCAGAAAAGCCATGTTTCCTTTCTTGTATAAACTGACTGGAAAATCTTGCTGTATACAGTATTTATCAAACACTTCTTGTCCCTCAAATTCCAGTGTCCTAGTATTTCCAACTCATTTGTCGTTATTTCCATCATCACACAAAAAATATTCAACATAGAAAAACTTTACATTCAATACTTTATATTCAAGAAATTTATTCTCCAGGAGCCGCACATACTCTTCCCATTCCCTCATGAATAATTTACACACTGCCAGAACAGACCTACTTAGCCCCAAATGCCAATAAATTAAGTAATATAAAATTTAGTATAATGAAAGAATTCTATCTTTTCTAAAGACGCTAACATGTTTTCCCTTGAAAACATATTTGCAAATATTTCCAAAAATGCGCTGTTGAAAAGCAAACTCTAAAAAAGTAGCATTTATATCATTCCTCATATGGAAAAGATCTTAACTTTAATAATTTATTTCCACATGCAGGTCTATGATTGACATTGGATACCCTACATCTCAAAAATGTTCATAAACAAAATCAATGCCATTTATATGAAGTGAGTATAGTATTACCTCCTCAGTCAGTTTAATGTAGTGAATTGGTTAGCTGGTGTTATTAAGACAGCCTACAACACAATGCCTTTGCTTCTTTACAAAGTCTAAACCCAAGTTGCTTGTCAAGCACATTAAGCGAGACTGAACACTCAAATCAGATTTAATCAACTATTTTAAGACATTTTTAGAAATAATGCCCACTGATAGAATGTAAAATACATGCTTTGGGTAATAAAATATATTGCATTGATCAAAGCTGGTTACATAACAAGCTTAATCAACCATCGTAAAAGAGGTCATCATATCCACTAATAAATTTTCAAACCTCATGACTGCAAATTTAGTCCAAGTCCAGAAAGAGCACATACAAACTAGAGAGTTTACTAAACTGTCTTTTAGTTAACAACTGAGTTTAATGTTATGAGGAACTTATATACCTTTTCTGTTTGCAAAGCTAGCGAACAAAGCAGAGAGAAACAAATTTTGTTCTTACAACTGAGCAACTGTGGGGAGGCAAAATATACACCGGAGGAGTGTGTCTATTTCAGACCACAAAAAATACATTACATTATTGACATAGTTAGAAAAAAACAAGACAATTACCAAAATGTTTAACTGGTAAAAGTTTAATGTCAACTTACTTATAAAAATGAAAAAATAYTTTAAAATTCACCATACAATTAAGCAACCTGGCCCTACTGACTACCAGCTATAGGAAGGCATTTAAGGAAATGATGATTGTGTCAAAACATAGGCTAACTTGAGGCATTGTATGCTGCTTTGAAATAGAAAGAAAAGAAAAACCAAAAACCCTCTCATTTGCAGAAAGCTAAATGCTTAGCCTAGTTTTTAAAGCTAATTACAAAATCCTCTTTCATACTGGTCCAGATGTCTTGAAAATTTCTTCTTCTAACAGAACTGTCAAAAGAAAAGAATTTTTTATGAGATCTTTATGCAGCTTAGTTCTAAATTTTTGCAAGAAGAAACAGAAATACAACACCATACTTAGGATATGGAAATGACTATTTAAAGCTTGTTTATATTGCAACCATTCCTTGAGGCATTTGTACACAGATACTTCTATAATTGCCACCTTATGAAAGGTTTTAAGGACAAACATGCTTTTCCAAGTACTGCAAACAATTCCATCAAATAATTTCTAGGCCTTATATATTATTTAGATAACCTAGAGCACATATTGAACAATATTCAGCAATAAGCCATGCAAACCAAGATGAATAAATTGTTTTTTTTATATGGCAATCTTAATTTATACTGTAGCATGGCTCTCCAGAGCTGAGCATTCCCAACACAGAAAAATAACAGAATGAGGTTATCATGCTTCCTATTGCATGTGATCACATCTTAAGCTGTAAATTTTACAAGCCTTCATATCAGTGTTTCTCCATTTTATTGAACTACCAGTGTTCCTCAGAAACTTTATAAATTCCTGTTTCCCAAACTTAAAAGGATTCAATCAAGTTATCACTGCCCTACATTCATCCTGACACAGTAATACAGCAGCAGACATCACCCTTTTTTTATTGCCTCTTCTTTTCAGAATAGCAAAACAGAAAACTCCAACAACAAAATGTCTAAAAAGGCCTGTTCCACTCACCAAAGCAGAGATTAAAACCAGTTAAAAGAACTTTGGGTGAAGACAGAAAAAACACAGTGACTAGCATGTCACCAATGTCACAAGCACTAAGTTCTCAACCCCTTTACCACCAGCCTACTTGTCAGAACTCATACCTTCAGTCAAAAATACATTTTTAATTTAAAGCTATTTTGCAATATCAACATGTAATATCATTACTGGGTTAAGAAATGACTAAAAGTTAATAGAAACTGATCTGTTACATTTACTGTAAACCAAAATTAACCATAGAACCTAGCTGCCTGCTGTCAGCCACGCAGAGCAGTCTAACAGTCTTACCTTCCATCTGTTTCCACATTCATTACAGACAACAAATGTAGTCATGGGTTCATCAGCACTGCGGGTTTGAACCTTTGGCAAGGCAAGTGTCAGAGCAGAAAAGGAAAATTAGTATCTTCAATTTTGTTACTGTGTGTTCAATGTAACTGCTTAAATCGACATTTAACATTAAGGAAACAAATTTGAATAAAAATACAAGTTAACTTTATGTATCAACTGAAACTGGGTTTTTTTGCATCACTACAAAGTCATTGCACACTTGGATTTTGAGAGATTTAGTAGTTTAAAACGTCAACTTCTGCACTGAAACTGTACATGTATTTCTAGGAACAGATTCTGCTACTTAAAGCATCTGATATGATGATATCCAATCTGATATCCAATACAAATAAAAATGCAGCAGATCCTATGATGAAAATTACATTGCCTGAAGCACTGTTAAGCAAATCAAAGCCCCTTYTTGCAGTGGTAGGAATGGCTGTAAATCAGGGTCTAGTGTTARTCAAATGGTACATTAAATGCATTTCAAAATGTAAATGTGTATATTTACACATATAGTTCCTCTGTAAAAAAAAATTTACACACATTAAAAACAAATTCTCTATTCCACATAAAACCATTATGAATACAATGTATTAAGAAGAATTAGCAAAAATTCAGTTCTGCAAAGAAACATAAGTATTACTTTATACAGATACTCAGCTTGGTTCTACATAAAATCTTAGGCAAACAAATACAACAAACTCTATWTACATAGGCATAACTAAGTAGATCCAACTATCTTCACATTTGTCAACATTTTGCAAGAAGTTCATTTCGCAATTACGRATTTTTTTTCTCTGACAATCTTTATAGAGGACTTAAGCTTTGAGAAAGGAAAACGAAAGTGAATAACCACGCACCTGGGTGTATGTACAGTTCTTCTTTTTGCACTTGCCACATGTAAACAGATCAGTTTGGGTACCTCCTGTTTTYGCCATCTGGTGCTCTCTGATAGCTTCTTTGGTCAGATTTTTGCGCATTTCTTTCAGCTCATCACTTGCCATTTCCTACAAAGGACAAAGAGCAGACAGAGTTTACTAGAGTGTTTTAGCTTTAAAACAAGTTACCACTGTGTAAGTCAATACAATTTTTTTATTTAGAATCCATGAACAACAACTCTGTTGAAAGGCAATGCAGCTCCACACATTTTTAATTTTACATGACTTAAGCTGGGATATTTCACAGTGCAGAAGCTACAAAAAGTTTAAAATGTTCTCTTTTTTAACATAGACAGGAAAAAAGAAGTATAAGTTACAATGTCACACATCTAGAAACATTTCTATGCAAATACACTTTTGAAGTTCAGAAATATAAGAGACAAAGGAAAGGACTTAAAAGTTCTCYGGAGAAGCAAAAAAGATCCTCTCCCTAGGTTAGATCCTTGGATAATTATCTCACTGACATACATAGGATTTACTGTAGGAAAAAATTTACATTATTTTGACTACCATATTTGTATTGATAAATACACTACAGCCATAATTTACCATATGTAACCAGGAATCAATACACTAAGTTTCTAAACACTAACCAAAGAGTTCAGAATTGCCATTTTCTTTTTCCTTTAAAATAGTTTTATACACAAGATCTCCACAGTRTCTAGTAATCGTAGTAGTTATGTCTAATAATTGTAATAAATCAAGTGTGCACAGCAAAACAAATTTGCTCCATTTTCCAATACAGTTTCACTCCACATCCCATGTAGATGTGGAATTCAAATCTTGTATCAATGCTGTTTCACTTCAGAAGTAATCTTAATACTAAGGGGTTTTTAACCATTAACATTTTAATCCAAAACATTAATCTAACAAAGAATGGGTACAGGACAAAAGGTATGTTTGTACATATGTACATAAATAAATAGAACAAAAAAAATCTAAATACGAATTGAAGGTACTGTTTACATTTTTCACACATTCTTTCACCAACCTCTGTTTGCCCTAACTTCTATGTAAAGTTATTCCAAAAAAATCCCAACCAAACGAAAAACCCACCACAACTTTCATCTAGAATAAAGTTAGTCAAGGTTTTCATTAGTTGACCATAAATTTAATTTCTTTCAGTCTCCAAGTTACTATTTTATACTTCACTTGAGGGGGTAGAATCCAACACACAGAAACAGAACCACAAAACCAAAACAAGACGTTTAACTGCTTTGATTTTTCTCTCCCATAAAATCTAATTTTTCATCTGACTTTCTAGATTTATTTTGAGGTATAAAGGCACTTTCGTCCCCTCTATCCCAGCACAACCCTGTCATTCAGACTCTGAAAGCCAGAAAAAAGCCACAGCCTTTCAGAAGTACAGGCAGCTTACATAAATTACTTTTATGGCTAATAAATACAGGCCAGGATACAAGTTTAGTAAGGAAATAGTTCAAGACCTATGCTTTACTTACCTCTGCTGTCATTTTGGCAAACTTGTCAGGAGGAATGTTTCCACATAATACATTTTTCCTTAGGTTAGGGTTCTTTGCATCCTTGAGATTTGCTATCCTACTTCGTACCCTATTTTTGTATTTCATATCAGTGTTCTTTAATTCTTGAAAAATAGGTACTTTGGATTTAAGGAACAAAACATGAATAGGTAAAATAGAGTTGACAATGAAAACATTCCTTTTGGGGGGCAACTTTTAAACCAATAAATTTCTCTGCTGTCTACCACATCCTTCCCCCACCCCAACCAACAGCTTCTTTTCTGTTCAACACAGCAGAATTTACAATCTTCTGAAGCCCAACCATAGTTTAACACATGGTGAGCAAAATATGAATTTTTGGGTAGTAGGATCTCAACTGAAACTGGGAGCAGTCACCCATAAGTTTATGTCCAGTTTATTGACCTCATCCTGAGAATTAATTCATTTCTGCACCAAATATTGAAACAATGACAGCTCACTAACAAACTTTTTATTTTTTTTAGTTCTGGAACTATTCAAACACTGTCACCAGAACCACCCTTTTGAAAACTCCAAATTCATTTAGAAATAGACTTGTAGAAAATTAAACAAAGACATTAGAAAATCATTAAGACTGTTAACAAGGAAAGATTTTTAAATAGCATAGGCGAGCCCAACATTTTATGTAAGAATGCTTCAGTAAGATATAATACTTCTGTTGCAAGGAAAACATATTGAGCTGAGAAAAACCCCCACACACTCACCTACATGCATTCCTACATATTTTAAGGCAAGTCATTTAGGTTGGGCTGTTCATCAAACCCTAAATTTATGTACCAATGTGTTGAACACAGTTTGCCATTTTTGTTTTACTTGAAATTTAAAAAACACTCAATATTGATCAAGTCAATTAATTTGAAAATTATCTGCATTTTTTTAAAAATACCGCTCCAGAGCACATAGATATACAAAAAAGGATATCTTCTTCAATCTGAGAACCCAGCTCTTCTTCATCAGCACCAATGGCAACGTAATCATCTGAGGAAAAGAAAGGATAAAATATAACACCTGACACTCTGTGTTCCATATCCCTGAGATCCCTATAGTTTCAGAACACTGAAACTCAGCAAATTATAAAACACCTGTAGCGAGTGTATTTTTTGTATTGGTAATTTTAATTTAATGTGTACTTATCCTTTCTGAATTTATTACTTGGAAGAACAAATGTAAGCGAAAGGAAGCAGAACAGAAGTTTTAAAAAGTTAAAAACCTTAAAAAACCAAAAAACTTCAGACACGTAGTTAAAAATAGAAGTAGTATCAAAAAACATTGCTATACAGAAAAATTTAAAATATTCCAACAGGCTTGGCATCTCTCCCATCGCCAAAGCCTGTGCACATTACAGACTATTATAAAAAAGAAACATTTTATATTGTGTTTAATCAATTGTTTTAGTCCACACAATACAAGAATAAGCAAATAAATGCTTTGCATGCATGAAAGAGAAAGATTTCATTAGAAACATAGTAATTWAATAACAAACAATCTTATTAGATTTTTTTAATGCAAAGCAGAAATGTGTCACAAAACAAGGAAATTAGAAGAACTAGACCACAAAAGTCTTGAAGACAATGCAACATTTGAACAAAAACGTCTCAGGGTATTTACTGTTTCTGACCAAAATGCTTTCTCACAAAGACATCAGCCTTTCCAAGACAGCTTAAGAACAAATCACATACAGTGTTTGCCTCCTCATTTCAACATGGGTGTACTTCAGTGAGTAATCCAAACATTTCTCCTTCGATCTCATGCCAAAAACCATAAAACAAGAAAATAACCTTTTTTTAACTCATGGATGATCAGTTTACATGAGCTGTAGGAAAGCAACACAGCAAAGAAGGTTCTTTGAAAACTAGCTAAAATTGAGACTATACAGAATTATGAATACAGTATGACTTTCTGGTCCCAAAAGAAGTATGAACTACATATGCAGGCCATAAATCCATCCAAGCTTTGATTATTGTCTATACCTGAATTTATATGAATTAAAAGAAAGAATAAAAGAGTGAAGAGAGTAAATATGGACGATTCAGAAATCTACTTACACTGGACCAAGTTACACTAAGCTAAGAACAGAGAAAAAGAAGATGGGTCTGAAGTTTGATAGAAAAGAAGGACACATCAGAAAAAAAATCGGGGTAACTTTAAGTCTTTCAGTTTGCTCCTTATCTAGCACATCATTCAATTTGTCAGCTTAAAGACACCCAAGCTTACATGAGAGATTAAAAAAAACGTAATAGTCAAGGAATTTACAGATACCCAAAAGACATGAAGTTAAGGGCAATGCAAGACTCTGCTATTACAAGCATCTTATGAAACATCAAGAATAAATCAAAACAGAAAGGCAGCCTTCAAAAAACAAAATGTGAAGGTCGCCTGTACCTCTGGTGTAAGAAAAGCATTGTCTTGTATATAGTAGGACTCTCTCAGCCAAAAAGACTGAGACAAAAAAATACAGCCTCTACAAAAACATTTAAATGAAGTATTAAGGAAGCAATAACCTTCCTGAAGGTCCCCTGTTGGCAAGATATCAGACAAACCGAGCCACAAAATGTCCTGAATCATGAGCAACAAAAAGGCATTTTGAAACATTCCCGTGCTGTCAAGATTATTCATGACTTGAATCTTGGGTGAACTGGTTGGGTCTACACATGCAATTGAACAGAAGCAGGGTTTATTCTACCCTACACGGCAGGAGGAAAAGTAGAGTGGGAAAGACAGAAATAGAGAAGAAGGAAATATTAAAACCTAAAAATACAAAGCTCACCTCCTGTTCTGAGAGCTGCAGAGAGCATTTCTCTACATTTAACTCGTACAGAGTCTGAAGTGCTTGGAGCCCGGGGAAAAGAAGGGATGAAAGAATTTGAGGGAGCACTACCCTCCTCCTTCCTGCTGCTGGAATTGCTACTTGAACTGCTAAAAAAAAGGCAAAATGAAAACCAATATTAATGTTCTTTTCCCCCTTCTTCAAATAACTTTGTTTCTGGGTAAAATAGGGGTCTTTTGATATACCCATTTGACAGTATTCCAAAATAAGAACACAGGCYACCTTTTAAAAGTTATTTATAGCTCTACAGTCAATACAATTTCAAAAGTGTCTTTAGACTATTCACCAGGGTRTTCCACACAATAGAGACACAGCAGGTATTTCACTCCATTATGTGGCATATAAGCTTTAATTCTCAGTTCTTTACATTACCATGAAATCTTTTTTCCTCCCACGGAACTTTGCTTTAAAATACAGCGACGATACATCACACCAACATTCACTTTGCAGCAAATGCCTTGCACTTAATCTGCTTACTGTATTGAAGGGGTACCATGGTCACAAAAAAAACCCCCACAATTTACGTAGTTTTGCAAACTGTAAACCTAATTTTCAGCTTCCACCTGGACATACAGTTAGAGGTTAAATTTCAGTTCTTAAATGGCTGCTGAAAAGAGATCACTAAACTCAGAAATGTATAGAAGAAATGGGCTTGCAAATTCTCTTTTGTAAATGTTCTTCAACCTGCAGTACCATGAACGTAGGCTTCTTTGGCTGGTAACATATTCTGTGTTTACCAACACAAAATAAAATACAATAAATAATTTTGTTTTATAAACAATAAATTGTTTATAAAACAAAAGAGCTAACACACAAAAGAAATATTCTARATCTCCAGCACAAGCAATTACCACAAAGCAGAGACTGAAAATTGTTTTAGTTTTCAAAGCTGTGTGCTACTACTGAGAGAGGAACAGAGTATYTGACAGACCCAACAGATGGAATAAATAATCAACTCATCTGTCCATAACTTGGCCTATGTCTTTCTTTTTTTTCATGTCAACAGAAGCACAATTTACTTCCCTAACAACACACTGTTTCTTGTACAACTCTATCTTTCAGAAAAAAACATGGTAGCTGTCTATAACCAATCTGGACCAAATCGTTAATGTTAATTAAACTGAGATTATTTGCACAGCCATTAAGAATGAACCACCTTTCTTCTCTGGCTTCCGGGCTGTTTTGTGAGGAAGATGCAGGCTCCTTTTTCTTTTCTTCAGAATCTTTATCAGTTGAAGGTCCATCTGGAAATACAAAACATGAGAAACTCTCTTCTACCCAGAAATAGTAAATGATTTAAAGCAGTGGTAAAATATCATGATTTCTCCTGAACCAGTTGGACATGCTATCAGCTCCCACTCTCTGCTGTGACCTTCTCYTGCAGTACAGCCTTCCACTTCCCAACACCTCCCAATGCAGGAAATGGAAAACATGACAACACTTCAGATCCTTCAAGTCCAGCATCTGCTTAAACCRGCAGTGAAAACATGATGGAAACATGGACTTTATGATTTATTTTTTTACAACATTCCTGCATTAGGTACACAGTAACTTCTTAGGTATTGCATGATGTCTCTGGAGTTTGTTTTCAATGCTTTACAGACCTAAGTTCCGACTACATATTTGCCACTGTTTTTAGTTACAATTTGAAAGACACCATGGTTAGCAAAATATGAAGTAATTTTCATATTTTTGAAGGAGTTTTCCAGACACACACATAGTATTTTCTGTGAYAGCTCTTAAATTATTTACCTCAGTATTTAAATATATTTGGATTYGCCTTTCCCATATGACTTTATAAAGAATAAACCCAAAAGTCTTTATGGAAAAGAGCAATCACAGCTTGTAACTCTAGGACAGCAAGAACACGTACACCCTTCTATTGTAAATAGGATTTCAGAGTGGSTAAATTGAGTGCCTGCTTCAATTTTCTCTCTAGAAAGGCTGGCTCTCCACTGCCTACAGAGAAAGCCTAGTGAGACTGGCATCACTGACTGACAGATTTTGTGAATTCTTCTTTCCAAGCCCTTATAAAGCTGCTATTACACTCCTAAATTCATAGACTGTATTATTGGAATAAGCATATATTAAAAACTTTAAAATTTATTAAAAACAGGACAAGAAAAGGAGGGAAATCTGTTAAGGCTCAGTCTTGACGAACTAAGAATATAAATCCTTGTTTAAGCATCTGAAAGTATCCTTATTTCCAGAGGAATTCCATCYCTGCACTTCTCAGAGGAACTTGGTTGTACGTAACACACATTCAGGTCTCTTCTAATACCGAGCGTTTTTTTTTTTTTTAAGTTTTATTTTTATAGAGTAGAAAATAACTGTACTGGCTTTCGTTTTAGAGRAACAATAAACTGAACATGATTTAGATCATCTCCTGAACTTTGAGTTAAGGAATTTATTCAATCAAATATCWCTTCATAAAAAAATTATCATCATAAAAGGAGAGCAGAGACAGCAGGACCAGGCACCTATCTACTATAATGTCTCSAGCTGTACCTAGAAAGAGATGCACACAAAATAGTGTAAGAGCCAGAAAAGCACAAAAAGATACTTCTCCAGAGTATTCCCCCAGCCTTCAAGAGCTCACCCATTGYTTGCAATGTTGTATTCAATCCTTGATAAATTTATTCATTTAAGGAAAAGAAAAAGAAAATTAAACACAGTAGATGATGAACTCAGGCTGATTGTCTTTAATAGACTGAAGATGTTATTCAAAAAATTCCTAATAAAGATAGCAATTTAACAACTTTTATTTATAAAAGAGTCGTTTCACTAAGAAAGCAAACAAGACTGTAAACTGAATGGATCACACAAGWTCTTTGCTATGACAACTGAAGGGCACTAAGAGAATGAAAACAAGTCCCATTTTTAACATGCATACTCACTCTCTCTATGGCAACGACTGATTACATGATATAATCTTTAAAGATATTCCAAATATGCATGCAATCTCATTCACCTTCATGATGTTTAAAGTACAYTATCATTTTTGCCAGAATTTTTAAGACAAACCAATAGATCAAACAGGTATCTTGGGATACAGCTTAAGTCCTGCAAAGCAGGAGCTCTGCTTCAGCCGATTTACCTCCACATTTTATCTGGCACACAATTGTYAAATTCTGATCTCACCTATGTATCTCCTGCTTATTTTGCATCATACACACCGCAATGGTACAGCTGGCATCCAGTTTTCTTTTATCAAACACTTCCATCTAGCCCAGCACCATTTTATCAAGGGCAGGCACCTGAGAACAATGCCAATGCCCCAATGACTTCTTTCCCTTTTGGAGGGCAGGGTATATATGAGGCACACAAATAAAGCAAGAGAAATGTAGAGCTCTTCCTACAGCTGCAGASCAGTCTCTGCAAGGATGTCTCAAACCAAGGTCAGACTTGAGCAGYTGAGACTGGACATCTTCAGCAAGTATGTCTTCCCAACTACAGTTTCTTTAATCACCTAAGAGTTTAGAGATATCTTTGCTTAATATAGTTTCAGGAAACTGAAAATAAAGTTAATATTATCCTAAGGGTTTAAGTCACTCTTATGGATCATAAATTGGAAAGCACTAGGAGAGATTGACTGYCAAGCTGTATTTATTCTTAAACTCACACATTAATAAGGAATATCTTGTTTTATTGAAATACTGTATTGACAAAAAAAAAAAAAAACAAACGGTGCAATTAACAGCCTGCTAGACAGCATTTCATCTGTCCTCTGGGGAAAGAAAAAWTATTCTTGACAAATTGCAAGTCCCTACTAATTAACTTATTTTACATTCAGTGGCCAGTCTAATGGAAAGGAAGAATGACRTTGAATGGGAACTATGAACAACCACAGAAATTCTAACAAAGTAAGGTGGAAAAAAAATGGCCCTTCTGTGAAATGTATTTAAAAATTCCAACATGATTCACCTCAGGAGGTCTACAGAACATTATAAATATTTATATAATATAAATTACAAGTTGTGCAGTTTCTTTTTTCAACTCCATATATTTATYCAAACTTACCAATTTTTTCTTCAGAAAAAATGGAAATTGTCACCAATTTTAGGATTGAAAACTGTAACTTCAGAGTTTTAGCTACTGCATCTCCAGAAGGCCATAAAAAATCTCAAACCTTTAGTTTTTTACAATTGAACCTAACTAACATTAATATTTCTTCTTTAAAGTACAAAGARCATGCTATTAACATGAATAGACTATTAGCCATTGGAATAAGACATTAAAAGTCTAACGACTGCACCACAGTTTCTGGGACTTGTAATAATYTGAAAGATACTTTCAAATTATTATCAAGTAGCTTCTGTGAAAAATCTCTCCAGGGTCAAACATGACATGATAGTAGTTTTCGTTATGAAACAAARTATTTTTATGTAATAATATACAGTCAGATAACATAATTAATCTGAATGTTAGAAGCCATCAACAGCTTTCTCCTACATTTTTCTAACTATATTACAAGCCAACACTAGACATTGCTAGTAACAAGAAAAAAATTAGAAAAATCTAAAGATGTAATGTTACTGATTTATAAATCTCCCCTTAAATTAAGAAAAAWTTTAAAGCAAAAATTGTTCCAGAAACATTAATGAAAGGTGGCTAGTTATTACCTGGAAGCATAAGAGAATTTAATTTAGTGGGATATTGTGTGTTACCTATTCAGAAATCACCACAACTTGGAAAGTTTTCTGAGTATTCAATTTAAGTAGGTTAAAAGAAAGAGATAACAGAACAAGTATCAGATTACATAGTTATTAATTTAACAATAACATTCATATTTAATAATTATTAAGGCTTCATTTTCCAGACTCTGACCAAATAATCTTGAGGTGCACATGCAGCTACACTTGTAAACAATTCCTCTACAACATGTAGTAAGGCATGAAGGTAAGATCAGTAAAGTTTCTTTCCAGTAGTAGCACTGGGAGAAGGAATATCTAAAATCTATAAATAAACAACAAAATTATGAACTGCTTGTTATTTTTGAAGATTTTTTTATCATCAGTGACAAAAGACCATAGCACATGGATTTATTCACTTTATGTGTTTTATATAGTATGACATATCATGTGTTGTTATCTTTCCACTGATCAGCCTAACAAATTATAGACCTACTAACAGTACATGAACAGTTCCAAAYATACACTTGACAGGAGCTGATTTCCACAGCTCAGACTTGATRTGAAAATGAAACTACAGACATTGTTTTTGCATTTGATTCTGCTTGATGTCTTATAGACATGTAAGACATCCTTTTATCAATAGAAAATAGTACTTCTAAATACTATTAGACTCTCATTTAAGAACTTATTTTGCCAGTAACGTTTCTTTTTGAGCAAAGCCAGGCTTCAAAATGTCTTTGAAYATCTAATGACAGCATTACCATACCTGTAAGATAGTCCTAGACTGCACCTACTTGCTCCAGGAGAATCAAATCCAGGTTCGAAATAACAAAGGATTTTGTGAGCAAAGTAATCTGAGTAAAATACTTCTGTGAAGCCTGACTGGTGTTATTAAMACTTAAACACTCTTTTAAAATACAATTATTCAGTCATGTCCTTCTGTGAAACAGGCATTTCAAAATGTTTGTGGCCTCAGAATATTGTGCCATGATTCTGCGTATATAGTTCAGTATATACTGGAGAAAAAGTTATTTAGCAGTCTAGACATTCTTTTTCACTGTATACTCTTCCAGTTCAGCAAGTMATTACTTCTGATGGGGGTTATATTATTCCTTAATGAAGTTTTGTTGCTTTTCTAATAAAAGAAACACTCCTGACAACCTAAATGAGTATGCATAGATTCATTACCTGCACAGCATACTCGGTACACTCAGCTACTTGGCAAAACAATCATTATTTGTAAATCCCATGTTATAACTGAACAGCAGCTTATTCTGAGAGTTGAATTTAGCTCCTTACACAAATTGCGACCGTCTCTGCTGTGTGGTTTAACTTTCAGAAAGTATCTGAAAGGGACCTTGCACTGTGGCTCACGCAGCAAGTCTCTTCAGACAATGGTCACAAGTCCTCTGCTGCGTAGCTTCCAACCCCTCTGAAAAACCATTGGTAATCTGGCAAGACTCGAGTCAAGCCACAAATCTGGTGATTCACAACTCACTTTGATTTCTTCTCCTGTTTCCCATGCATTTCTAAAATCTAAATTCTGATAGCATTGAACTGAAACATTACATGCAGCCTGAACAGTCAACAATTCTTGCCTAAATTCAAAATGTCATTTATAAAAATAACTCACAAAGACTTCAGAGCTCTGAGTACAATGCTTGGTACGATTAACAGCTGTCCGCTTCTGCTGCCATCTTTGCTCCATACCATTTTACATGCACTATAAACAGCATAATCGAAACTGATTTCTCAAGCAGCTCAACATACGGTATCTCGCATTCTTCCGAGAAAGTCAAAACTAATGATAAAACAGAATAAGAGTACTTTGTAAGATACCCACCCATACTYATACCCTGTCTTTCACAGTCATGAAACTTTACATTTTAATGACTTACTGAGCAGTGATAAAGGAGGCAAAACATTTGCCTACTGTGCTTTATTATAAGGGCTACATTACAACCAAGAAAAACTTCACTACCTAAGTTTTCASTGCTGTATTTTCAGTAATAATTTGATTTTCTGTAGTAAGTGTATTACCATAACTATACTAAACCTGGCACAATAATGTACACACAATATCTGTCCTGCAACAAAAGTTAGCACATGAACAAAGGTCACATATACCCACTGACTCAAGAAGTATTCAGTTCTGATACATGCCAAATATTTCCTAGTAGTTTCCCAGCTCCGTATGTTTGACTTCACTTCATGCAAGAAGCCTTAAGTACAGTCTCCCAGCTGTGTTAAAATAATCTGAATCTAACAAGCTACAAAAGGGGAAGATCCACCTTGCCCCAGCTGCTTGTTACTGCTACAGTCCCTGTGCAAGAAACAGGAACTGCGAACAGGTTGCACCAAAAAGACGATAGTTGAAATTTAAGCCAGAAGAAATAAACAAAACAATTAATTTCCAACTCTTCCAGCCAACACTGGTCTCCTGGATAGTCCCTTGTGCACTAATTGTAACACAGTTGGGAGCAAAGAGGCACCTGTGCAGAAGTGAAGTCAGGACCACCCCTTTCAGCAGCAGCCTAYACCCAGACTGACCTGCCATGACCATGAGGCACCACATTCTTACCCCAGAATTCCACAGCATGAAAACTCTCCAGGTAGGAACGACACTCCCCATGTTTCCCAATGTTTCAACACTTTTACACCAGTCAGCTTTAAGTAACAACATAGTAAGACAAATTTGACTGACTTGAGGTACTCAAGTGTTAACAAAAYGAGACAATTATTTTTAGCGTCTCAACAAACAAATGGCAAATCCTTTGGTCAAAGGACAGTGAAAATGAGGAAGATCTCCCATTCCCCAAAGAGTGCAGTATATGAACACCTTTGCAAAAGTTGAGAATTCTGTTGGAAAAGAGAGTATCTCCTCTACTTTGTCACCTAAGCTAAGTTGCAGTATTAAAAATGTATACTTCCAAGAAACAAAAATACTACTCTCACTAAATATTTATAGGGTTTTGTTTGTAAAACTTAAGACTAATAATTTCTAATAACTTGAGAGCTAAATCCCTGAATCCAGCTGCTACTTTTATTAGTCTTTAGAGCAACTGACGCTAATATGCAAGTCAATTTCTCCACTATCTTACCACTTTTATGTACTGATATAATAAAGCTGGACTTCTACATTTAAGTTTAAAAATAAAACATGTATTATTTTCGTTATTTATCAGTTAAGTCTGAACAGATCCTTTATATGTATTTACTTTTATGATAAATGTCATTATGAATTTAAAGGTATTTATCAGCATGTCTACTACTATCTAACTTYAACTACTAAAACTAACATTATTAGTAGGTAGGATAAAAGTCTTTAAGGTAGATTAAAAAATTTGCTGTAGAGGCTGTTGCTTCTTACAAAAAGATAAAATTTTAAAGTTCTGACAAATAGTGCATTTCTACAGGCAGACAGAGTATTTTCTACATTATTTAAAGACAATAATAAAAGTATCGATAAAATACTTTACAGTTGATAAAAATGAGACTGAATTCAAATGTTAGGGTACTCTAACACTGTCCTGGTATTTGGCTTTTTTTTTTTTGACAGAATGGTAAATATTTAAATCATAATGTAAACTGTTTTCTATKTTAAAATTTTAAGCTTCAAAAATTTTACTTTATCTAAACTTACATACAAAGAAACAAAATAGAGTACACCACAACGTATGAACAAAAATATCTGGACACAGGTTGAGATTTAAGTGTTTTYAAATATATTAAGTACTACCAAAAACCCTTGACTAAAACCGTAACAGAAAGGTTTTGTTAACGGTATTAATTGCTTTAGGGGAAATTAAACAAAAGTACTAAGTCACTAATYAGTAAGCTATTTAAAATTAGGAAGGTTTTAGAAAGTGCAGATCTATTTCTCACTACCTGAAGGTTCTAACAGATTTTAACATAATTTTTACTGCTTTTTTCTCTTCACAAATCATAACAGAACTTCAAAACCTACACACTCTCACATGAGATTTTGCACCAGTTCTTCTGARTACTTGCTATATTTGACAAAGAAAATAGCCAGGAAGAGGTTTGTTAGTGCTTAGTGCTGTAGTACAGTCACTCCAGCTCAACTGCAGGCAATGAGACTTCAGAAATGAATCACGTCAGCCAAGTTGATTTCCTACTGCCTGCCATCCCCAATAAAATACATTAACTCTTTCTCTGAATACACTCTCACTGCAATGCCCTGGTGACAGTCACAAAGYAAAAACCAATTACATCAGTACAGAAAGTTTCAACATTCGCTGAAGAGAACAAATATGTCTAAAGCAAGGCAGTGTCAAGGATGTGCATCAAGRCTACATAGAGTTAAAACACACAGAAGCAGGGACATTCCTGTTGCCATACCTAATAGCTTCTTCCAAGACTTGATGAGAGATTTTGCTAAAGATGTAACTTCTTCATCTGTGCTTTGCTTGCGTATTGCATTCACTGACATTCCAATTCTGGTAGACTGCAAAAGAAACAGAAATATATACTATCACAAGTGATATGAAGGCAATTTAACAAACACACAGAAACTTGTACTTTGACATAATTTTTTACAGTGACTTTTCTTTTCTTTTCTTTTGTGATGGGTTTGTTTTCTTTATTCCTAGTATTACCAAGATGGAATGTGGCAAGCCTTTTATAAAAATTATTTTAACAACATGGACATTTTAAAAATAAATACAACAGTATTATCATTTGACTTCATCACAAAAGTTTGGGGAGGGATGGGCAGTGATGGTGGGCAGGAGGGTTAAGGACTGTATTTACACTTGACCATTATAAGATGCCAGCTAAGTTCTTCACTGACATCATACTCTTAGAACTCCACTTAGTGGCTGTGGAAGAAACTGTAATACCAGCTGGAAGCAAGCACGTTTTAGGTACATAAAAATTTTGGCGACACTGAGGTTCTTTAGAATCCTTAGCACAGAGAGTTCTGACTTTAGATAGGAGCAGAACTCTCTGTGTTTATGATTTTAAAGAATGAGCTACCCTATTTCTTYCTGAAAAGGCCAAGACGGTGACAAGCTTTAAGCCTTTGCCACTGCTGCCACCTACAGAGTGARTATGAGAATAAGTTCCAGTCTATGCCTTGTAAGACTCTGAAGATGAGGACATAAATTTAGCTCAACAGTAACATTTTAGATTTATGGCCAACATGTTCATGTAACAAGTAGAAACTTTCCAGCCCTTTAGCTTCACAAGAGGAGAAAAGCATTTAACAATACAAATAAGGATTTTATTATTGTTTTGTATTTTGACTGATGACTAAATTTTTTATTTGGTCTTAAGATGCCTAGTTTTGTTGCATTACCATTTACAGGGCTCACTAAATATAAATTCTACTTACTTTTGCAATCAATCATCATAAATTTCCTTCTTCTTTAAAGGAAAGTTTAAATCTTTGTGRCTTGCTAAAAATGAAAATGATTTGTTCCTGTAAATTACTTCTTACAATCCAAACTTTCTGAGGCACCACGGATATGCTAAATGACTGGAAACATACTGAAATAATCCATAACGATTTCAGCCAAGGAAACATATCAAATAACCTCAGGCCTGAGAATCAGCTCGAAACACATATTTTGCAATAAAGAAAAGAGATTGTTACTCACCTGTAACTAAAATGTCCCAAGATGGACTCTGCTCACTCAGATTAATAATACTGGCCAATTCTCTTAATATTTTGAACACTTAAATCTCAWCATTATGTTCAGACAATAAAGAATAACATGTCCTTGAAAATCCACAAAATACCACATCTGGATGAGAAAAATGTATCTACCAAAACCTCAACCCTCCATTAATACCTGGGMACAATGACAGCCTATACTCATCAGCAAAGGGAAAGCACACAAACTTACAGACTTACTTAGCCAAGTAAAATCAAAAAACTCAAGCAAAGCTCAAAACTAACAAGAAAAATTTCTTCTTCTGATCGCACAAGAGAGACAGATTGACAACTCTCTGAACTGCCAGCTTTCTTAAAGCAGTACATAAAAAAAAGCTCATTTGTTTGCTTGTATATATAACTGGATTAGGTCTACCTGAAGAGAGGAAGTAATGATCTACTAATTTATCTGCCTGCTGACAAAGATAATCACAGAAGATTACTGTTATATTCTCAGAATAACTGTGTTTTAATGACAAACCAGCCAAACATTTCAAACCAGTTTTTGAAATTCTTCAGCCTTCCWGTTTATGGAGCTGTTCTAGTGATTGCCATTTTTAAGTGAAAAACTCCAGTATTTTCATTATTCCCCACTTCAAATCCTGGAGTATTTTTCACCTGGTAAAGACAGCATAATTCAGCTGTTTGCACTCCTGAAACACTGAAGCTTTGGCCAGCAGCCCTCAGTAGGTGTGAGTAGCAGTGAGCATAAGTAACCTATAACTGAAATCATATGAACTCTCAAAGAAGAGCATACAGTGGCAGCAGGTCTTCTCTAAACCATAACAAATGCAAAATGTAAGGAACAGAGCTGGGGAGGAAAAGCAACCACCAAAGCAAGCAGAGGTATTGGTGAGCACTTGGACTCAGGCAGAGCCAAACCAACCACTGAAGAATAACCACATCCACATTCCCAGGTCTCCAGAGCTTGCCAGTGAATCGGCATGAAGCCATTATTAATGGCTGCACATCACAGCCTAGTTCTGCACATGTGTGTGATTTCCTGTAAAACCTGTTTGTCAAAATAAAGCTTGACTGTCTCACCCACTGTTTAGCAGTGCACTAACCACAATTAGCACCAGGGACACGATGCCTTTAATGCGGTGAAGCTGTTAAACAGATTTGCAAGTCAGACCACCAGATAAATCATGTGTGAGGAAGCCTACTGGCTCCCTGCCTAGCTGAGCAAGGATCAGCTTGCTTACATAAAACTCGTTAGATGTAACACAGTGGTATTATTGCCTCTAATCACTTCAGCTTTCTGTGAAAAAAAGTATGTCAAGAAATATACAAGACACCAGCACGAGTCCCAACTACTGATATGCACCTTCCTATTCCACATACCTGTAAACTGGTCAGAGGACCTCATCATTTCAGATTGAAGCAGCAGCAGTGTTACATGAAAAATCATCACCTCTCATATTACACAGGAATAACAGAGCTACCAGAGATATTCTCAATGCAGCCAGCTTTCACAACTGCGCAAAATGTGTATGGAAGTATGCTTCTCACTTGTGTCCGTCCTGCATTTCATCAATTCAACCATGTTTTTCAGAAGTCTTGATCTACTCAGAGGAACATAGTGCCTTYATTTTCTCATGATCATCACCCTTCTTAACACTGGCAACTAATGATCCAGAACCAGAGCAATGTGTACGATTACTTTGCATTTTGACTTTTGCTCCAAATCCACCACTGCTTAAGCAAATTTGCTTAAGCAAATTTGTAAGGCCAACATAGAAAGTTTATGTCAGACTTTACATAGGTATCAAACATCCAAAAAAAAAGAAGTAAATTTAAGTCCAAATGTGTTGCTAAATGCAATCTTATGCAGTGGAACTGTTTTGAATACARCAATGGATATTTAAGAAAAACTTCCTAACCAAGGTACAGTCAATGCACTGTGCAAGAGTATCCCAAAGTACTGAATTTCCAGAGTACTTGCAGARAGATTCTTCATTCCAAAGGCAAGAGAACATTATCATACAGGTATAATTTGCATTAAGACCTGCACAAAGAAACTCAAAAGATTCAGGTTAACAGAGAGGCTTTCTGGGTTTTGTTCTTGTTTTGTGTGGAGTATTTTTTGTGTGGTTTTGAGTTCTTCTTTTTAAAGAAAAAGGGTGAACATAGGGGACAAAGTCTCAAGAGTAGTACCAGCATTCATGCAAGAAGGTAACACCTTGAAATTCCTATTTTCTGTCAGAAACAGTATTAGTAATTACTTAGTACATTCTGCAAATATATAGTATGTGTGAATCAAGAATGTCATTGGTTCTGACACTTTTAAGATTTGAACTTTAATAGCTGATGTTTTATCCATGTTTATTAACTGCCCCTTAGAAAAACGCTGCTTTTCARTATCCTCCAATCTAAGTAGCTACCACAGCAAATCAAGTCTCAGATTTAACTCTGACATTTGAAAATTTTCACAGATATAGAATGTCTGACTACTTTGGAACAAATGTTGCTCATTGACAAATTACATTACAAGTTCTGAAACTTAACAGGTAAGTAAAATTGACCAAGTTAACRTTTTTGAAAGAATTTACCAATAATATACAAAATACTGTGTTAGTGATGTTAGTCTATGCAACATTAGTGACAGTATCCATGCAATGGCAGACACTGTACCACTCCACCACTCCAGCCCAGAAGAGTAAGAGAGGATAATTACCTTAAGAAATACACTACCCAGAGCAGGGTGGAGGACATAGCATGTGTGCCAAATACAAGCTGCCTAAAGGTATCAAGTATGTTTCTCCTCACTACAATGCAAAACCAGAACTAATGACATAGGAAAAGATGGCATCCGCTGTAAGGTGCATTCTCCTTCAGAAGAAARGCAACATATCACATTTGTGTTAAGAATGTAAGCTTCTATGTATGGTAAATTCATAAGTAGCTCTTCTCTTTGTCCATGACAAAATTCACTACTCTCAATTTAATCACAAAGATATGCTTTAAGAGTTTGCTACTGGAGGAAAATCCTTAAGATAAAAGGTGAAGTGAGACTATATTACTATATAACAAAACTGATGCTTCCAAGCACTTTTGATGAGAAAACTACTTTAATAGTGCAACTTTCTTTCAAGTCTGCTGGTGCCCCCTTCACTGTTATGGAGTTAATATTTGTAATGTAACAATAAGAAAATCATACCTGTAACAACTCAAGGGTCATGGGAATATTCTTAAGCTCCTTCAACAAATCAAGAGCTCCAGCCTGAAAAAAAAAGAAAATTAAAAAGTCAGCTTAGTAGCAATCAGGAACTTTAAACATAATATCAACAACATAATCTTATCTGCCTTCAGGGTCACAGATAGGATTCAAACCATCAGTTCTCAATTTGTCCAACAAACTAGAACAACAAATGTTCCACTTCACAAACTCTAAACATTAACAGGCCTTAACTTGGAAATCAAAGTATTCACTCATAGACTAGGCAAGTTTTACCCCATATAACTCAAATGCCACTCAAAGCACTCTGTCAATTACTACTTAACCAACACACACATTCAAGGGTACTTCACTTAACAGCATGAGAAACAATCCAGACAACAGCAGCAATTTTCAGTTCAGAGCAACCACATTAGTTTTAGCACAAGAACCCAGAGCTGAGAAGCTCTGTACAGTCCATCAATAATGCACATATGCGTAYAGAAAACATACATAGATATCATGCTTAACTGTATGTGATGATGTGGTAAAGCCACACATCATGGGTTTTTCTTTTTCCCCTGCTAAAACTGTTAGGAAAGGTATTAACTAATTCTGTACAAGCAGCTTTCTAGATAGATGAGTCAAGTTCAGCTGTACKGTTAGGCWTTAACAAAGTCTATATGCACCGACTTTGACYAACAATTCATTCCTTAGCAATGTAAGTCTTACTTAAAAAATGTTTTCATAAATGTGAGCTCTGTAATTCTCTTTAATCTCTCCRACCTGAATGATTTACCAACTCGACTTCAGCAAAGTTCTGCACCATCCACTTCTGACTGWGCACATGGGCTGTCAGACTACACAAACTTCCCAGAGGCTGAGATGATTTGGCTGTTATTGAAGCGCACATGGTGCTGAACCTGCTGAACCTGGGAGCTAYGAAGAGAAGGGAGCCAACTGCCTGTGCACCCAAGAGGCCATTCTACTCAGGCTCAGTTCCTGACTTACCTTTCTGCCTTTTTCTTTTCTTTTCCTTTTTTTTTTTAATTCATTAGATTTGGAAATAAATCCCACAAAGTTTCCATCTTGCAMATCTGAAATTTGATTCCTTTTTCTTTCCTTACCTCCCAACTCATCCTATTTTATTTTGCATTTTGCTTGCTTTTCAAATGCTCTCTAATAAACTTCTAATATGACACCTGYTGGAAACTACTACATCTACAGCCTTACAATTTAACCACTAAAGATAAAATAATCACTGGGAGGTTAAGAAAGATGGAAATGGAACTTYGGTGTCACATCCCAAAACCCTCAGMTTTGTACACCGTCAAATGTCTGCTACCTTTGTTTTTTAAACACTTCTGACTCAAAGAAGCCTCCAAACCCCAAAATTTCACTAAATCCTACCTTACACAAATTCAATTAATGTATAAAACTGAAGTTTTACTATTTTGCCATGATAGCAAAAGTCTTATTTAACTTCTATTCATGATACATAAAACTTCTCCAGCCTTAACCACAGAATTTCAGCAGCAATGACACAAGACTGAAAAGTGTCATGATGTTTTCAGGTGCTAAATTGAGTTGGCACACAAAACCATAGCTTTCTCTCAATAGCCAYAAGTGTGGTTTCTTCTGTGCAAACACAGATCTGAATAAATTAATTATCTGCTATGCTACAAAACAAAATCAAATTCAAGAAAATTTTCTTAGCCAAAACAAAAYTAATAACAGAAGCCAATGTGCCATTTTTAAAAATATAATCTGGTAAGACTTACCTCCAAACCAATTAAGTTATTAGCAAACTGTACACAGCATGTAATTTCAAAATAAACACAGCTTACTGTAGTCTGCAAATTCAACATGAAAATAACACTGTAAYGCAAAGCAGCACTCTTCATCTCATCTTAGAAATACAGTCTAGTCAAAATTCCTTTGCCCGTTATATGCCTTTCCAACTGCACATGTGAAAACAAATTTATTATTACCAGAGTAAATGTTTTCCAATATTAGTAACTTGATATATAGCAGGTTAACAAACCATGCAACAATTAAAAAAGGCAAAACCAGAAAAAAAAACCTAAAAAAAACCTGACAAAAAAAACCCAACCCACAAACAAACAAGAACAAAAAAACCCCAAAACCCCACAAACAGAAAACAAAAAACAAAAAACTCAAACCCAATTGAAAAACAACAGGTCAACAGGTGTTAGCCATTTTATGCTGGTTTCTGTACCAAATTACCAAAATTGGTAACACACTAATCCTTTCTAAGCCTTCACACTTCTCTAATCAACTATACTGTCCATGAAGAGTTAGATGCTTTAAAATTTAAATTGGTTTTAAACTCATACCAACTRAACAATTTTTCATAAACACTTTTCTTAGCATAGTCAAATGCTCTCTGTRTCTCAAAACCAGCATGGAAGTTGCACAGTACAATTGTAATTACTTTTTTTCTTAGTGTAAGACTTTTGCGCCCAAAAAAACCCTAACATTAAAGACCATTGTTATAAAACTTCTTTTAAAGGCATTTGTATAATTTTATATAAAATAAAAGGCAATGCCCCATTCTGCTAGGCTGGTTGGCTTCTGGTTTATCCTGTCACTGAAATTAACAGAAGTCAGCTTCATAAAGGTTCAGTAGATTGCTCCTCTCAACTTCTTTCAGATGGTCAGATCACAACACAACAGGATGGTATTCTATAGTCACATTTTAAAGCTTCAGGCAGTAGAAAACAGAGTACATTTTTAAAGACAGCAGAGCTATCCAGTTATAATCCTRTTCTACTTAAAGGAGTATACATTTAATAACACAGATAATTTTATTTYCTTCTCTACACTTACTCAAGCATTCTTAATTTTTTTAATCCATAGGTGCAGCCTTTGTTYTCATACCTATTCATTAAAGCAGCTTAAGGAAAGGTGTAATTACAACAAAAGCTCAAAGGAAGGCACTACAGGTTTTAATCCAATCACAGTTCTGAAGRAGGAGTAATATCAACTTCAATTTGAAGCAACATTTATATCACACACTGCATTTAATACTACATCATATTATTTCCTCCTGCTAAACAAAAGATCTGCATATATCATTTGAGTAAAATCGTTGTGAAATCTGCACAGCTCCAATTAAATCCTTAGTCAAGGCAAATCACCAAAAGTCTGACTCAGAAAGCRTGTCTGCATAGCCTCCCCTTTCAGCTCCTCAAAGCAATGCTACAGAGAGCTTTGCCACAAGCCAGAGTCACCGTTTGTATGAGAGATGAAACGTTTCTTGTCATCTGACTCTCGACAGCTTCACAGTAAGCAAGTATCAAAGCTTTTTTTTTTCTTTATTTATGGGTTTCATCAAATCATTCTCATTCAAAGACACTGACCAAATACCTGCTCTTGATGAGTAAAAATGGAGAAAGGAACACAAGACGTTGTCAAGAGCATCACTATTCAGTGGATACTTGKGTAAGAATGTATTTCTCAATTCTTCATCTTTGTGAGACAATGAAGTAACTCTTCATAGAGACTACCTTAWTAAATTTGCTAAAGTTAGCATTTTAACTGCAGGGCAGAATTAGGTAGGAAATCACATTGTGCAAATAAAGGAATACCTTGTAAATGACAAACACTAGTAAGAAAAACACAACAGACGTCTCCCAACGTACATCCTCTCTTTAGATACAGTTAGGGGTTTTTATCATGATACACACATGTGTTATGGTCAAACTGTCAGACCAGCACTCTTGGSCACAGTGGCAGCTCATTGAGAAAACATCAAATTAACAATGGAGCCACTTGTGTGTATTAAGGAGCTGGAGTGAAAGAGCTCTGTTTCAACAAAGTACAAAAGCCCAATTGCATCTAGTGCTCCCACGCTTCCACTCCTCAGATAGAGGTGAAAATGAAGGGCCAGCACTGGCTCCAGCCAGGCACACCCTGTGCCTGCTGTGCTCAGCCATGTCAGACCCACGCTGACCCCAAAGAAGTCACTGCCCTGCTCCCCACAGCTCTGAAAGTTAATTAGGTTACACATGCTAGAGTGTGAATACATGATTCCACCTGCTGTTAGGAATTCTATCCAAACTTCTAAGCCTTCCAGATCACAGAGAAATATTCTGTGGTCACTGGCAGCATCCCTGGTATAGTTACTCCCCAGGATCAGAAGTGGCTCTCATATTAGCTGAGACCTGTCATTTTCTTTCTGTTGTCAGAAGTTTTACAAACAAAATTGACCTGGCAGTCAACTGAGCCGGCAGTCCTTTATCATTCTCATTACCGCGATATTTAAGCATTTCACAATCAGTAAGTTTTCACCTTTTCAACACCTCGTAGGAAAGAGTTACTACTTCAGTTTTAGAGAAAGTGAGACAGCAAACACTTTTGTGCTTAAATGCATGGAAAATAAAAATAAAAACAAAGAGGAAAAAATTAMAGAATTTATAAATGTTGGTCATAGAAAATTTTTTCCTCTAGAGGTGTTCTTGCTGCCACAATGTATCATTTAGAGTTCAAATATATTAGATCTAAACCCTGTGATATTACAGAACACCAAGGACTGAAGAYAGATTTGTTTGTACTCTCAACTAAACAATTTTCTTTAGGTTAATGCAATCAGTATTTCTATAAATACCCCAATGTTTTAAATGCTCTTTACACTGTCCAGTACGAAGCAATAACAAAAGTACTTCTATAAAGTGGAATTCTACAGCTTTAAGTTCTAAACTATCACTGTTACTAAGCTTTTAATGCACTATCATAACCTTATAGAAAAAAAAACTTTTATGCATGTAATAGCAGCTTGCAGGAAGAACAATCACAAATACAAGCACAAATTTTCAGAGAATAACAATGTGCCCACCTGATAAAAAAGTWGCAAACAGAGTTTACAACTTACTTGCACGCTATATTATTTATAATCATTGATCTGGTGTTGCTCTATCCTTTTTTACTTACTTTGATATGTTAGTAGGCATCGTGTAAACATCATATGTTATCTGAGTTCTGTATGAAGGGCATACATGACAATAACACTTGAGTTTAGCCAACTCAATCTTACCTATATTCTACCTTCGTTCTGAGGCACAAGTTATTCTCCTGATTAATAAACGCAATTAAAGTGCTTCAGGTTAAAGGAAAAAGAAAAAGAAAGAAAAAAGGCGCACATTCCCCAGCTGCTGTTTGTGAACTTTACCCACTCARCTCTGGCCCTGACGCAGCTGGGTCTGGGCTCTTCACTCATACCTTAGTTTTTACATCCCACCTAAAACTCCAGCTTTCACGCCTAAAAGCGACAACATCCCATGTACAGGGGGCCATCTCCGCAGGCATTCTCCTCGAGGTGACAGATTTTCCCCTGAGCAAGGCCAGCACTGCGCTTTCAGCGAGCAGGAAGCGGAGGGCGCAGCCGCTCCCAGCCAGGGCCGGTGCCAGGCGGGAACCTCCTGTCGGCCGCAGGCGCTGGAGCGCGGGCGGCGGGGCCGCTGGGCCCGGAGCAGAGCCGGCTGCCGGTCCCCCTCCTCTGGCGGCGGGACGCGCCGCAGCTGCGCGGGGCCCCGAGGGAAGCGCCGAGGCCGCCGGGCAGCGCGGAGAAACACGGCGGCGGGAAGGGACAGGCCCCGCGCCCGCTGGAAGGACGGAGCGCCGGGCCAGCCGGGACCGCGCCGACGCCCGCGGCACCGCCGCCGATCCGCCTCCCGCCCCGTCCCGTCCCGTCCCGTCCCGTCGCTCACCGCGTTCTTCTTCTGCACCATCTTGTCCATCTTCTTGGCGATGCGGATGATCTCGTCCTCCGTGGCCATGGCGGCGGCGGCCCGGGCGGCGCCAGGCAGCGCGCGTCGAGCGCCGGCCGCGCGAGCCAGGCAGCGCTGCCGCACGCCGAGAGCAGGGGCGGGGCTGCGGGCACTCGCGGACCGCACCTCCCGGAAAAAAACGCTCAAACCCAGCAAAGTAAAGTGACATGTCTGACTTCTGACAGCCTTCGCTGGCCACTGCAGTCCGACCGAGTTCAAGAAGCGTTTGGACAACGCTCTTGATGSCCACGGTGTGATKCSTRCGGTGTCCTGCGWGGCGCCARGAGTTGGACTCCATGATCCTTGTGRATCCCTTCCGAATCACGAGTGTCTGTGACGCTGTGAACCTCTTACCCTCTCCAGCTCCCAGCACTGCTGCAAACGCTGCTCGTACCCCGCTAACACAGCGCGAACCACGCTGCCCGGAATCACCCTCCTAAGACCGGGCTTTTGTCGGATTGGCAGGAGGCTCAGCATTACAGCAGACGCTAGATTTTTATTATCGTCAAAAAGAGGGGGGAAAACCTCTCTTCCCTCTAACGGAAAAGGTGTTTATATATACATATATATGTGTGTGTTTTATGAAAAACGAGATTCTGTTTTTTAACTCTCTCTTTTTTTTTTTTAACTCTCCTGTTAAAAGGTTTTAATAAATGACCATAGGATACATAAAAGCAAAAGGATACGGCGCCAGGTGCTTGGCTATCTGCCAGAGACACACCTGCTATTGACAGGAGACATCTTTAAATCCATTTCGTATTGCATCAGCTTAATGCCTATTCATAGGCATTTAGGCATATTTAAACATTCCCAGGAGCTGTTCAGCATGGCACCTCCTCCGGTGTAGCCCTCTGTTCCGTGGTTTCAGTAGGTGACAGTTGTTGATAGGGAAGTGTCCGTGGAGCGGTCCTTGGGTTGTCCATGCAGATAAGCCCATCCGTAGGTTTGGGGGTCCCACCGCAGAGGACGAACATTCCACTAGTTCTGACCAGAGACTTTCCACTGCACATGCCAAAACCTCTGTTCCTTCCACTCCACCCTTTCGCTGTCAGGGTCTGTGCTGGCCCTGGGGCGATGTCCTCCCCACCCCAAAGGTGCTAAGCATGGTGATCTCTTTGTGAAATGCATCCTTTTCCTCAGCTCTGAGCTGCTTCTTGTCTTTTAGGACCACTGCCGCCAGGGCCTCACKCAGGGCTTTTTGGTGACTTTCTTTGCAACATTTGTATAGTTTTGCTATAATATGAAAACGATCCTTTATGGAAATGTTTAAGTCGCAAGCCATAACACTTCAGTTTAACCACAAGTATTTTATAACTATATCTGAGTTACAAAAGAAAAACAAACCCATCAGTGATGATTTTACCACTGTGTCTGCATAACTAAGCTACTTACGCGAAAAAAAAGGCAGCATTGTACACATAGCACTCTTAATATTTGCGAAAGCCAACACTATGTGCTTGTAACACCTGCGAAAAATGTTGATAGTTGCTCTAGAGACCTTGATTGCAAGGAATGTGTCCTTAACTCGATAAAATGTTTATTCACAAGTCAGCAGAAGATATTATTAGTAGAAATAAAAGATAAATATGCAAATATTTGCAAGAAGATAATTATCACGTGGCTCCTAGTAAATCTAACAACATGTTTTAGGCATAATTAATAAGACCTGTAATATATATCATGCGTAACAGTAGAGTTATTTAGAGCTTTTGTGGCTTAACACTGTTTATTTTCTTTCCCCATTTTGCAAGTTGTACTGCGTTTAGACAGGAGAGATGAGAATAGAGCGGAGGGTACAACTCCTTTATAAGTTAAAAAAAAACCAAAAAAACAAAAAAAACAAAAACCAAAAAAAAACAAACCCCCAAACTAACCAAACCCCAAAAGATAACAAAGAGCAGCGCGCGCTCCCTCACTCCCCCTCAGCGCCGGCCTTGGCGCGCGGGCGGGGGGGGAGCGCGGCCCCGATTGGCTCGGAGAGAGGCCCCCGTGTCACGTGACCGCCAGCGCGCTCCTTATAGCCGCACGCGCCGGGCGCGAGAGGGTTGCTGGCTGAGGGAGCGCTGTCGGGTCAGTGCCGGGGCGGCGCTCGGTGAGCGCGGCCGGGGGGAGGGAGCGGGGCGCTGGGTCGGGAGGGGAGGAGAGGGGGGTGCTCTCCGTCCCGGTTGAGCCGCCGCTCACCGGCGGCAGGGTGGGGCCGCGGGCTTCCGTRGCCGCGTTTGGGTGTTGGCGGGCTCCTGCCTCGCTATTCCCCATTGGCCGCGGCGGCGCGCGCTGAGGGAGGGGCGCTGTGGGCCCGGCTGGCGGGAGCGGGAAGCGGGGGGAGCTGTGTTGGGTACTCGGTACCCCCCATAACCATTTTGGGTGTGCGCCTGGGGTCCCGTCCCTGCGGGAAGGCCGCTCATCCTTGCGGGAAGGCCGCTCTGCGGTGGGCGCTGTGGCGGCGAGGGGCTCTGCCTTCCCGGCCTGCCCGCTGCTCGTGACTCGGGTGCAAACTCCACGGGGGCCCTGGAGCAGCCTGCTGACCACGCCGTGCATGGCTGACTGCTTAAGGCTGCCAYAAAAGCTGATAGTCCGAAATTGTAGCGTTCTCTGACTAGTGTTCCCCGAGCTTCAGTAGCAGGCAGCTGCTGTATTAATTTTTTTGTTTTTCTATTGTAGTTGATCTTATGAATTCCAAAATGAAACAGAAACTGGCGGCAGAAAAGTCTTCAGGATCTTTGCAGGTATAGGCTTTAAAGCCTTGAAGCTATTACCCCTATCTGACACAAGCTTTTCTGTCCACTGAAGGAATATAAAGGGATCTGTTGCAATGTGCTTCCACCTGGCTAATGTCCATTTAGCTTGAGTAACCTCCTGGCAGGCAGTGTGGCTTGGGAACATGCTGTCCTGCTTAGGCATATGTGYTTATGAGTACTTCTTTTCCTATTTCTCAGCAAATCCTTTTTATTTTGACACTGAGCTTACTGTCTCTGTTTAATTTTTCAGGGCTGGTTTAGGTTTTTTTGTCCTAACTGCATGCCTTTGCTTACTGAATCTGTCTGGCCTCTAAGGGGGGGTTGTAGAGTAGGTCTGTTTCTAGGTGTGAACTTAGAAAGAGTTTGATCTGTTTTGTGTTAAACATGTTTTAACTGAAGTGTTCAAGCAGGCATTTCTAAAGTCACTCTCATGAATCATAATTGTCTTGGAATTGGTGGAAATGCTTGAACAATTTAGGCTTTTAAGAGTTAACTGATAGGTTACTAAGGCTTGTACCTAGTCTTGGTAAGCCCTAATCAGAATGGTGCAAATACCGTATAGAATACAGGCTAGTAGTCCTTGTACCATGAGGCATAGTGACTAATGAAAGCTTTGTGCATTAATGAAAATTGCCAATTGATAGGTCTGGCTTAAATACGTGGCAGTCTTGTCCCATAGTGTCTCTAGGATATAAATTYCTCGGTGTGGCTTTTTGCACTTTCAGTGAGTTAACTCGAGTATTGGCCGGTAATTTCTTGGCAGAGTATACTTAACTCTAACCCTCGGTAGCAGCAAGCAGTGTCTGACACACGGTGTGATTCCTGTTCCCACAGCAGTTAATGTTTGTCCTGTAGTGGAACAGTAGGRTAATTGGTGGCAGAAACTACCGTGGGAAAGGYGAGCTCTTGTCGTATGAAGTACGGTGTGAATCGGTAACTTTCTCACGCTGGTGTGGCATTGTATCCTGGCTGTTCTTGCTTGGTTGTCTGCCATTGTTTGCTATCCCATGGTGGCAGTGTAACCAACCCAATCAGAAAGCTTTGATTCAGGAAAGAGGCATTTATGCATGATAGGAAGGGTGATAAACATACTGGTTAGACAAAACAATAGCCTGTCTGGATCGAAGCAAAGAAGCTTTTGATCCATTTTAATGAATAATCAAAGTAACACATCTGTTTAAGTGAGCGATACTTGATGGTGTGTTCACAGGATTCAAAGACAGCTACTGCCTCAAGTGATGTGCCTTTCCCACCTCACCTTGCAGCTGCAGTCACTTTTGTCTCTGTTCCCAAGTCTGACCCTACTGCTCTCAAACTCAAGTTTGAGAGTTCCACCTAAAGTCACTGCTCTGTCAGAATATTTCTTCCAAAACACCTGCTCAAGTTCCTTTATGAAGAGTAAATATTTCCTAACTCAGGTTCATGTGATTAGGATCTCTCTGCTAGAAATAACTAGATCCCCTTCCTTACAAAAGCCTTAATACAGGCTACAGTGYAAATTTCTTTGTCTTGAAAATATGAACTGTGTGTTACCTTAATGCAAGCATGATGGATTCCTAATTTTCAGTTTCTATAGAGAGTGGCAACTGAACCATGTTTGTCTTTTCCAGCAGTACCTCACAGATACCACAAGCAGTGCTGCCCCGAGACAGACTCTTAAAATGATTCAACCTTCAGCAGCRGGTAGCCTGGTTGGCAGACGAAATGAGGTATGAACTAGAAGATAATCTGTAGATATGGAATTATTTCTATTCATAGTGAAGTGCTTTTCAGTAAAAACTAATATATTTGAAAAAAAATCAATCTGGTAACTAGGTGTGAGACTACTTCAGCTTTCTATTATTCTGCTAATAATATTAACATGTAGCAATTTCTGGGTTGTTTGGGAAAATTTGAGACATTTCTTTTGTTAAATCTGTGGGTATTAAGGAAGATGTCGAAATTAGAACTATGATGTGAAGAAAGCAGGACTTAGRTTTGCAGTCATGAGTGACCGAGCAGGCTTAGAAGTCTTTATTTTTGTAGAAGCTGAGCTGTTGCTCTAAACAGAAACCTGTCCATGTTTTATGCAGAAGAAATCTTCAGTCAGAAGGAAACTCTGGAATAACAAGYTTGCCTCAAAGGCTTATAAATCTGAGGTGTCTGTGGACAAGGAGCAAGACAATGAGAATGATGTCATTCAAGCTGTAGATCTCATGAAAGGTAATTCTTGAAATGTTTTCTTGCACTTTAAATGCTATACTGCTGTTAGAATACAAATTGAAACGTATTTCCTTTATCATTTAGATAAGGACTTGGTGAATAGTTTTTTTGTAATGCTTGCCAGGAGTTGATTATGCTTATCCTCTATATTAAAGTATAGATGTCTAGTATGTAAAGAATGAGTTAATGATAATCAAAAGTTGAGAACCACTGTGTGCAGCAGTGTTAAGGAATATTGTAGTTTGTTACTTTGGTTGGGCTACGAGTTTTCAAGTGGCTAATAATGAAGTTGAAATGAAAGCCTGTTCTGGCACAGTTTGTTGTGTGTGTGCAGTTTCTCAGAGCCATTATGCCCAGTGTGGACAGTGACTTGGGACTGAGACTTCTGTCTTACACAAGGTGCACATTAAGAGCAAATGTGACCATCTTACAAAGCTTGAGGCAGCTTCATGAAGGCACTCTGTTTAGCCATTAATGCAGTGTAGGACCTGTTTCCTGTAGGCTTGTGTCACTAGTTGTAGTTTTACAACGAATCTTTGTGAACACTACATGGAGGAAGTTTTTAATATCACAGCTCATAGAATACTTGTATACAAGCTAGATATCTTAGGTGCTCTCAAGAAGTCAGTCTTACTGTAGCCTCTAACTTCAGGAAGTCCTTCATCTCARTATTGGAAAGAAGTGGCTGAAGAGAGGAGGAAGGCTCTATATGAAGTGCTTCAAGAAAATGAAAAGGTAGCTACTCAGAGATACCTAGCTGTTTCATCACTGGCTATTGTCTTCCTCTTCTAACATTTTGWTATTTGAACTCAGCTGCACAAAGAAATCGAGCAGAAGGATGGTGAAATTGCCCGCCTAAAAGAAGAAAATGAAGAGCTCATGTCCCTTGCTGAACACGTGCATTATATGACCACTGTGATWGAGGTACTTGAAGCAATTTTCAGTTAATGTTGTAGAATGAAAAAGTGAGAAATCAACAAAGGTATTTATAATGAATCRTTACTTCTCTTTTGTGTGTTCATGACTCTTCATTTTAAATTGCTCTCTGACCTGTTTCCTGCAGGTTTGCTCTAATGCTAGAATCATAAAGCTCCTAGGGAATGAGTTTTTCCCATCCTAGAACCTACAGAAGTAATGAGAGTAGTAAGATTGATGTTTGCTAAAGGCAGGATTCAATCCTTAACAGAATTTGCATGTTGGAGGTGGTGATAAGGGAAGGAAGGGTTGATCTTCACTTTTTTGAGATGACTTAAATTCATATGCTTAATAGGTTGTGTGAGGGTACTGGCTGTGTTCTTTGAGAAACTAAGATTGAAACAGGGACACAAGGAATGCTGAGAGGGAGTGCTATGCTCTTTAAAGTCAAGGTTTTKCTTGTCAAGGCATTGCCAGTTTCACAGCCTAAAAAGGGCTGTGCGCGAAGTCTCAAAGGTGCATAAACTCGTAAATTTTTTAATAGCTCCCTCTGAGAATTTTTTGGGGACAGGTAGTTGTGTCACTAATTCCATGGCTCCTCTACCAGGAGTGGATTCTTTGCAAGAGCCTCTGAAGCTCTAATAAATATGTAGATAGCTATAGAGCCTTGATGTTCTAGTTATCAGGTTGTTTTTGTATGGATTAAGCTCTCAGCTGGGACAGGAAGTTGAGTGCCTGGCAAATCTGTTGATTGTGTCATGACTAGACTGAGGAGGTGGAAACAAAAAGAAATGCTRTTGCAAGCAAATTGATTAATCAAAAATTCAACTTCATAAGGTTAATTTTCAGCTAGTGCAGTTATTTAGATTGGCCTTGAAAGACTAGTACTTTGCTGCACTTGAATGTTTTTTGATCTTCAGGGAGTACTGCTTGTTAGTGACAAACCCACAGGCAGAAATTATATTACTTGAGGATTTGAACTAATGTAGTTGGAAACTTCTGTRCAGCATCTCAAGAGTTAGGATCACTTACTAGTCGTAGGCTGCCCACTTCTGAAGCTTTAATGAGCCTTAAGGGATACATCAAACAACCAGAAGCTTCAAAACCAGCCTCTTTACAGTCCTGTTTATCTTCCTTAGATCAGGTTAGGTGAGGAACTTATAGTTTGATCAAGAGCTAGAAACTGCTGGGTTCTAAAGTTCATCTCGACTTAATGTAGCTTCTTTATCTCTGACTAAAAATTATGGAGTAAATTGGTTGTACAGTAATTTTTCTAAAATTAAACCCATATGGTACTAAAGTGAATACTTAACTTGGGAAGCAGTTTTCCATATTTTAGGTTCCCTGAGAGAAACAGTCCAGTCCTGTCCTACTGAAGAAGCTAAGAAAAACTTAACRGTCAACAAAGTAAATGTGGTCTGCAAGTTAGASGTAGTAATTTGAGTTGAACTTGTGTCTTAAGATTTTTGTAACTGAGGTATGTTTTGGTTATATCAACAACTTTCAAATGAAGGTGATTAGTTTACTTAATATGCAGAGTCWTATTTCACTTGTTATTAAATAGAAAAAACATTAAATTCACTGTCTTCTGTTTCTTTGTAGAGGTTAACTGGGCAAGCACCTGACAATCTTGAGACACTGGAGAGTCTGGCTCTAGAGGAATCCAGACAGGAAAATAAAGAGCATAATTGTGAAGATGAGGCAGACAGCCCTTCTGAAGAAGTGCCATCGCAGGAATCGTCTGGCTTAAGGGAGARTAGATCAGATCTTCCTTCAAAGGAAGCAGATCATTTGCAACTGGAATGACAACCTTTAAATAGGCTTATGTATGTGGCTTTTAATTGCAGACTTCCTCTTGAAAGGGTATACTAAACCTCAGGTACAGAAACTCTTRTGGGAACATTACAGATGTTGGTATTTTGAACTGGAATTATGTCAGTGGGAGTATCTGAATACTGCATGGAAAATTTTCTACARGCTGCATGTAGTTGCTTGTATGAAATGCAAATACTGTGTATTTCAACTGTTGTGTAAGTATCTTTATCAGTTGGTCTGACATGATACATGAAAATTGATAAATAAATMTTTGTATTACCAAAATAGCCTCCCAATTGACAGGGGAGTGGCTAATCCTAGGTTTAAATCAATTGTGTCTACTGTAAATGGAACCTTTACAGTTTCTTGGGAGTGCCTGGCAATTTTTGTTCTTCAGAATTCTGCAAATCTGAACAGAATTAAAGTAATTTTTTTTTGATGGATAGAGTGGCAGAAAAGCAAAAGCTTGTGTGCTGATGGTGAGRCTTCAGAAAGTCAAGAATGGGTAATAAGTCCWCATCGGRAGTTCAGTTAGATTTATGATTTTTCAAGTTTTTAAAAATAATTTCCTCTACCTTTTAAAGAAATGTTTTGCATCTTGTGTAATAAGAGCTTAAGTAGGAAGTATTAGACCATTTCTTGTAGTAATACTTTCATTGGTTTATGACGAGAATGTGGTGTGTTCTTGGTCCTGGTAGCAGCTGTGCTGGAAACTAGGTGGAGACAAAGCCCATACTTCAGAGCTATTCTGAAAGTAAACTCAGGGTGCTTTCAGGGTACTGCTCTGTTAATTTGCAAGAGCTGAGACACCCTTTTGCCAAGGTACTTGTGTTCTGAAGGGTTTACAGCAAGAGAAAGCTGTCTTTAAAAGCTTGAGCATCTTGTCTGGCATCTGTATGGAGTGGGATGGGGCAGGAGAGTAGGTTGGATACARGTTTTCCAGTACTGAGTGAACTCAGCAGTTGTTCTGTAACAAGGTCTTCTAAGGAGAGGCTTTAACAATGCTGGCTGTTGCTGTATCTTGAGAGGAGATTAAAGTTGAGTGGCTTTCAAGAAGCAGAAGTGGTCAGAAGGATCCTGGTTCATGGATATTGCTTCAGGGTATGTGTGAATGAATGACTCTGGAGCTATCAGATGGGCACTTTGTTTTATTCCCTGTGGCTGTTGATAGGTTAACAGATGTTTAACAACTGATTTCAGTTGTGACATCCAGGAAATGTCAGAACCCCATTGTAGGAGGTAATACTTCTGGCTTCCGTTTTACCTCAAGCATGGTAACTAGAAAATGAGGCATCACATTTTCTTGTGAACTTTGTAAACAAAAGATTGCACCTTCTAGTTTGTGCTCCAGAGGGTGCTTACACATATTCCTTTCCATCACAGTGCTGAAAAGGTGATGAAGGGTGTGTCCTTTGTCTTGCACTGATGCTGTCTTGAAAAGACAAAACTGGATGCTCAGCAAATGCTTTGTAGAGCAACCTTGGTTTTCTGTTAAGGAGAAATGGAGAACGCTTCTCAAGTGACTTAGACTTCTATCTCAGATTGTAAGCAACTTCCTTGGCAAAGTAGTTCAACAATAGTAAATAAGAAAACAAATTTCATGTTGATATAATTGATTTTTGCAGTTGAATTTAGTTGAAGTTATTMATTATTAACTCTTAATTTTTTAGAGGTGGCGTTATTTTGAAACATCAGGCATATTGCATTTGCAGAGGCTGTAGWAGGAAAGAATGTCCTGTAGCATAACTAACAGGCTAAAATGAGACAGCAAGTGCAACTTTTCCACTATTTCAGCTGCTGTGTGAACTGCTGTAGTACAGGTGATGTTGCTGGAACACAGAAYAGCCAGATACTGCACACAAATTCTCGATTTGTCTCTATCCACACCTGCTTTTTCCTACCTTCTGCTTTGTCAAGACAAATGTTTATTGGGTTTTAATCTTATGCTTTTTCTGGATTGATTTTATTTAAATAAAAGACMTGACACTCCCTTGAGAAGCTGGATCCTTCTATTGAATAGACCATGTACAAATAAATAATGGAAGTTCTGCAAGTAGGCTAATGAATTGTTGCAGCATTTGGCCCACCTGTAATAGAACAAGTTTTTACATCAAAAGCATGTGCCACTCAGTAATACATGCTAATGCTTTAAACCAAAACTACTGTGGTTWTATTAACTGCAGTTCGTTAGCTGAKGGAGAATAGTTTGCTGAATAAACTGATAAAAACCTTGCTGCCAGAGAAGGCCAAAGGTGCCATAGTAATAAACCCCATATACAGGCTTTGTTACAGAAGCACTGAACCTTGATCAAGCCCTCTGACTATGCCTATTGTATCAGACATATTAATGTATGAAAATGTTCTTAGTAGTTTTATGATGCTGCATTTTTTGCTGTTTAAAAATGTTCTGAAAGGGTTGAGTTTATTCTGAAAGTTCCTGAGTGATTTTTTTGAAAGATGCATGCAGTAGCACTGTGCTACATAGTAAGTCTGTGAACTTTGTGTTCATGTGCTTGTCAAATGTACAGAAATTATAGAGAGATTTGTGATTAGTTCTCCTACAACCATCTGACATTTTAAGTGTATAGGGAAACTCATTTACCACTGGAACATAGCTATGTAGCAGCTGAAAATCAACATCTCTAAAGTCAAGCTTCATACCCATCTAACTTACAGAGAACATTCTATCTAGAACAATAAARTTATAAGTTCTGGAACCTAATTACATGATCTGATTCTTTCCAAGAAGTYATAAATGCATTTGTTCTACCAGCATGCTGACTCCATTTCACTGCAGAGGGTACAGACACAACCTTGTCTTTCACTGAAGCGTGCTAAGGCTGTGTGGAAGTGGGATCCATCTACTGTGTCCTAGCACTTCTCCCATAAAATGTGCATGTCTGAACAGGGCTGAATTTCAGCCATGCATGAGYGAAGGGTGGGGCAGTGGGTCATTTGCAGGTGTCAGATGTTTCAAGAAGGAGCAGCTGTGCAGGGAGTAGCAGAAGCAAGCAAACCATGGGGTGGTTGGAGTGTATGTGAGGAAGAACTCATGATTGGTTTAGCAAAAATAACAACTTTTTTTGGGTAAACACYCACTATACTTAAGACAGTGTGGAGGAATTAATTAGACCATAATAACTACTTGGTTGGGCAGCTGAAACTCTCTTGGTGTTTGGCATTGGATTGTGTCTGTGAGGGCCTGCAGCATTGTCCTGTGTGGTAGCTAAGGTGCAGTCTCTGCAGAAGTAAGGAAGGTAGTCATCAATTTTTTATTTTTTTTTTAAGGAAGTGTGATGCATATTCATTTACTATTCCTCAAAGGTCATCTCAGGTTGGTTTCAGAACTGGTTTTGAGAATTTGAACAGATGTACAAAATTTGCCAAGGCTGCGCTTTTCCAGCACTGTTCTTAAGACTGTATTGCATCATCATCAATGTTTTCTTCAGAAAAAAAATGTTTATGGAGTGTTGTTAATTTCTATTTCCGTTCTTGTAATAACACAAAGCAGTTCAGTAAATTTTACTGGTGTTCTGAGAAACCTTGATTTGTTGCTGTTCGTTGATCTGCTGGCAATTGTGTGTTATGAAATGTGATGGGGACATGTTCAAGGTCAAACCCTTTGGTGTGGGGACACCTCTATCCTACCCTTGGGGCACTGCAGCCATTTGAAGCTGGGAGCTGTGGATCCTATCCTGGATAACTCCACTGCAAAGCAGGGAGCCATACTTAAGATACACAGTCTGGCAGTTGTATTGACTCCTAATTTTGAAATCAGCATTAATCTGTAGATAAAGGACTGCAGGATAGGGTGAAGCYGTAGAGGATAACTTTGCTGAAAGTCTGTCGGATACAAGATGCCTTGTCAGTAGCAGTGAGAAAGTGGGCAGCCTAAATGCTGCTGCTGTAGCTGGAATAGTATAGGGGTACTACAGGTTTCTATTTATGGGGCCAAATGCAGTGACAGGGACAGCATGGCAGGGATAATAAAAAAGACACTCCCAGAAAAACACTTTTCCCAAGGTCACTTCTGGTGAGCTCCCCATCTCTTCCATTGCACTGTTGCTGAGCTGCTTYGGTGTGGGAACTTTTCCCTAACATACTTTCCAGGGGTGGCCCTGACCTTTAAATTTGTTCAAGTAAGCCTGCTGCAGCCCCAAGAGTTTCTGTAATTACTGTCTGCCACTTTCTTCTTCAGTCAGTATGCATGTGTCTTGTGATGCTCACCACTGTGCATCTGGTTTTTCATATTCCATAAAGGAGTGCATGAACATGCCATGAAAAGGCAACGTTGTCAGCTCCACAAGCATAAAATTGTACAAGCTATGAGACAAATACATGGTTTGTTCATTTTTATTTGCCTTCAGGTTTTGGAAGTTTTAAGGTCTGTTCACTTTGTCACGGTTGTCATGAATTCTRTTAGATGGTTATTTGTGTATGTAGTTTTCTAAAACAGTATTAATGCTCAAAGTGAAACAGCCTCTATCCATCTGTATCCYAGGTTCAAATTGTCAGTCTCAAATACCACAAGAGGAACAGTTTAGTCTAACTTCATATTAAAATTCCTGTGAATTTCCTCGATGGCCCTTGAGAGCACAATTTGCTCCTTCCTATCTGATTCTTTTGAACTGTATGCAGGATTTTTAATGGATATATTGCTGTAGCAGATCAGCTTCAGCCTAATAAACTTCTCAACGGTGGCTTTAAACTACAATGAAATGAGATACACACTCCATTTGGTGCAGTACCTCCATATGTGCGTGCCCCGTGTTCTCTGCAGCTTTGGCTCCCTGCTCCATAGGCAGTTTTGCATTCTCCAAGGTGTGTGCTGTAAGTCTGAATGTTTGAAAAGGGAAAATGAATGGAAAGAATGTCTTCTGTCTGAGAGGAGTCTGTCTTCACAGMAGAGAAGAGTAATCAGTGCAAGTTTGGTGACAATCCTGGAGCTTCTTCAGCATATTTTCTGGTAGGCCCTGAGGAACCTTTCTTGATTCGATACACGAAACTGGCTTGCTCCGAACTGAAACTATGAGCCTGAGAGTGAAGGGGCTGCTGATGGAAAGAGTGACTACACATATGGACTGATGTGCTTAGTAATTAAAAAATAATCTTTATTATAACTTAAATGTGATAGGAAATATGGTGAGTACAAATGCCACAAAACTAAAAGAAAAAAATAAAAAAAAATAGATACAAAAGGACACCTTGAAAGAATTCAGCTGATGAGACAGGTGTGGTATAAAAACCATAACATGGCTATTTCACCTTCTGCAAAAAGAGTTTATATCCCTCAGTAAACAAGTAAGCATTTTGCACTGTACAAAATGTACTTCTTTAATTCAAGGAAGAATATATATATTTATAAATATACAGATATGTACACTCTTGTAACATTCACAGTAAAAAAAAAAACAAAACAAAATGACCCCTGCCTGCCAAAGTATCTGGCTCACAAGGTTTCCTTTTGATGTGAACTGTTTGCAATATTTCCTATGTCGTCTATGCAAATTTGGATACTTCAATTGACATCTAAATAGCATTTCATGCATAATGAACACAGTACAGGAACACTCTTCTGTTAAATTCTATTCATCTCCTCTGTAAACTTAAGGCTCGTAATCAACAGTTTGAAGCACTCGMTGTCTTTCATCCTTGCAGAGCAGGGAGGGGAGGTGCATTCATTTCCCCCTCTGTTCATTACTGCCTCCGAGGTCCACGTTAGTTTGTTCTGTTCTTTATCTTGAAATCACTCTAGAAACTATGCTCCACTAATTAGAATGTATGAAATCCAATCCTGCCTGCAACTTGCAGGACAAAATGGTTTTGGGGACTCATGCAATTAGCTGTATTCACTTCTTCTTCTCTGAATAAATAAATGCACTTTACCTTTTCATTTAGTTTYCAGAAACCTACGTGATTGTTTGATCCCCCTCACAAATTGCTGGATTAATGATGGTTTGTTGCTGTAGGGCAAGAGAAAGGGAATAAAAGACCAGTGGAGGCATTTAGAATGAGTCACCAAAGTGACGCCTCTCAGGGTTTTTACATCACGCTGTTTCTGGAGGCAGAACTTGCAGAACTTTCCCTGTATTTCATTACCAAGACACATCTG